CTCTGTATTGCTTGTATTGTTCTTATGCTATTTTGTAAATGGATGTTTGTTTGTTAATATGTTTTCCTTCTTTTGTTTGTAAGATAAATTTTAAAAAAGAATGCTGGATGTGGTGGCGCAGGCCTATCATCCCAGCACTGAGGAGGCTGAGGCAGGAGGATCGTTGTGAGTTTGAGGCGAGCCTGGGCTATAAAGTGAGCTCAAGGCCAGCCTGAACTGCATAGCAAGACCCTGTCTCAAAAAGACAAAGAAAAAAAAAAACAACAATGAGTCAGAAAGTAAGTGCCTTTCAAAAGAAGTGTGCCTTAGAGACAGCATTGGAAAAGAGATACTTGGAACTGTTTGACCATCTTGTGATTCTGTTGCTGAAAACTATGTGTTACCTATTTGCCCAACTGTAAAGGAAAGAATAACAGAACATTTTTAACCTACCTAAAAGAGTCTACTTCAGTATCTTGAGTGCAGTCATAAACAATAGTTTAGCTTACAAGAGCTACTGATTGATGTTAAAGAAGCCAAATTTCAACAAAAACCTTTATGTAATTATGCAGGTGAAAGTGAAAATTTAATAGCATGATTTACTGAGCACAGCCAATGCCAAGTTGGGTCCATGTAGATCCATGAATCTCTGTAAGGTATCATTTTTGCTATGACATCCACTCAAGACTATTGTCAGTTTAAATTGCACTCAGTATTCCAAAATGATAGGCCATGATTTTGAAACTAATGAGGCATACCTAATCATGTTGTATCACTAAAATGTTCATAGTAACATTTCTCAAATAAGAAATCAACTTTGTATATCATTAAATAAAATAAAAATTCATTTTGAAATATTATTTCATATTAGCCTCATTTTAAATGTCCTATTTTACATACTTTAGGGTTAAGGTTAATATATTAGAACAGCAGTAAATGAATATAATGTTAATATATTCATCCTAGGGTCTTGTTAAAATGCAGTTTCTGATTTAGTAGTTGTAGGTCAGGGCCTAAGACTGCATTTTTAGCCATCTCCCAGATGACCCTGGTGCTATTTGTCCTCAGACCACAATTAAATCAGCAAAGACATGGTTGGTGGGAGTGTCCAGTGTTTTTTACTGATTAAGATGTAAAATAGATATATTTGGAAATGACTAGGGAATTAAGTGACCACACTTCCTTCTGGTTGTCCTCCCTAACTACTTCTATCAGTGGGGGGTTCTATTCTACTCTCTGACAAACACCTTAATTCAGCTAATCGCTGCAGTTTTAGAAGTCAGCTGAGCTGGAATAGGATCAACATCCTCATGAGGAAAGCGATGTGATGAATAAGGGCATGTGCTCCACACTGGAGATGCTTCTGCCTCGTAAGCCTGATTGAGGGTTAAGTGAAATAAGATGTGTGAAGTATTTTGCAGAATACTCAAGAAAGTGTAGCTATTCTTGTTGGAGAGATTTGCCTGTGAACTGGGCCAAGATTCTCTTCAGACAATTATTTGGGGTCTTTTTAAATGCTGAGAAATATAAGCCATCAAAAAAAAAAAAAAATGAAAATCATGCCAGATGTGGTGGCCCATGCCTGTAATCCCAGCACTTGGGAAGCTGAGGCAGGAGGATTGTTGTGAGTTTAAGGCCAGCCTGGGCTACAAAGTGATTTCAAGACCAACCTGGGCATAGTGAGATCCTGTCTAAAAAAGAAAAAAAAGAAAATCAGAGCATGATATACGCATGTAGGGAAATATCAAAGTAAAGCCTATTAGTTTGTATAATTAATATGCACCAATACTGATAATAATAATAATACAACAGTTATTGTCCAAAAACATCTATGTCATGAAGTATGGCTAAAAACTGTTAAGCTGAAAAGTATTTTTAAATTGTTTTAAACCACTTCAGCTATTAGAAACAAACCAACAACATGCACACAAATTCAGTAAACATAAACAATCTAACTTTGAGAAATATAATTTACTTATGTCCTTCTACATAAATTAGCTCCCAACTATATCCTTAAGTACTTGGTCTATGGAATTTTTATATTATTTATGAAGAAGTTGGAAACATCTACCAAAAATGACAAATTTGTTTTTAAAAATATTGATATGTAGGCTTTCTCTCTAGTCATAATTAGCTAAGCTATTTGTTTAGTGAGATCATTTGTAGATTACAATAATATGTCACCAGCGTATAGGAAAATTCTTATGTTTACATTCGCATTTTTTGTTAATGTGAATGAGACCTACATTTCCCTTCATTTATACCAGTTGCTGGTATACATCTCAATTTATCACCTATTAGAATTAAAAGCATCTATGGACTTTAAGCTATCAGCTGTTTGGTTTGGTTTCAGTATTGCAACTCTCAGAATCTGCTTTGTGTTTTCTTCCTTTTGATCTTTGAAAGATAGAGTTTAACACAGTATACACAGTAGGATGAAGCCAGGTCCTTTGAAACCCAGAGGTGGGTTAATTGTCAAGTTGGTAAGCAAATCAGTCCAAGGCTATTAAACATTTTCAACCCTGAATATCATAGATTGGCAGGCCTCTTTCTCTAGATGCACATTTGGGTGTCTATATCTTCTTTCATGTAACATTTGTTTCTTTTGGAACTGCACAAATTTCTCTCTGATTCTTTTTTTTCCAAAGGTTCGACAGTCTCATTTTCCCCCATGCTTCCTATCTCCCTTCTAGCCCTTCCTTTGTTTAACTGAGCTCCATGATCACTGAGGCTGTATCTCTTTACTTCACTGCTGTTTTAGAAAGATCTAGCATATTTTGGCACAGAAAACCTATTAAATCCGTATTTGTTAAGTTTTTAAATGTTAAGTTTGGATTTCCTTTGTTTCATAGTGCACAAATTATTTTATTTTATATTTTATCCTATTTTTTCTTTGGAATAAAGTAGAACAATTCAGAAGTACTGGGATATGAGCACATAAACATTAACATTTGTGAGACAATAAAAATAAAAATACAGCTGCTTGCTTCAACACAAGTGAGTGAACAATAAAAATTTTCCCAAGTTATAAATATTGGTTTAAATTCTTTACCACTTACTAGAGTAAAAAAAGGCCAAGTATTGATTTGTAGATATAAGAATGATTATGACTTCATATTCATCAAGCTGTCAGTGTGAAAATACGCACACACTAAGTGTATTCACAGTAAGGAAGTAGAAAGAGAAAAGGACCTTGTGTCTTGCATTGCCCTTCCTTTACTTCTCAGATTTAGCCTTGATGGAGAGAGAACAGGCAGACTGAATGGCTTGTGTTTATTTAAATCCTAATCCATGTGCCCTCTGACTCTTCAAATGACTGAGTGGGTGGAAGCAAGCACAGGCATTGTGCCAGTCTGTGCATAAATGCTGTCACATGTAAGGCAAGAGGCAGGATGACATAGAACAAGTCACAAGCTTTCAAGACTCTAAATTGAAGTTTTGTTTTTAGCAGGGCCCTAGAAAAAAAAAAGTCGTGACCCATAAAGTCATGACCCTTATCCACCACCTCTCCTACATACTGAGGACAGAAATCAGGTGTCCATTGCAGTCAGTCAGTCAGATTGCTTTTTGCATCTCCCCTGCCTCCACTCTAGTCCGCTCTGGGAGGCTTCCGTGTTGTGACTGATGGTAAAAGAGATCCTTACGTCCAGGATCATGCCCCCGTCACTGAATTACCCACACAGCTCCCAAACTCGAACCTCCCAGGGGTTAGCACGAAGCTTAGTAAGTGTTCAAAAAATGTATACAGAATGACTGAATGCTGCTTTGGACAAAGCTGCAGCTTCCACACACAGCATACTTGCACTCAGTACTGACCCTGCAGATAGGAAAAGCCATATAACTGACGCTGTAAGAAAATGTTTCTTGTTTATACTGCTGCATCTTGATCTTTGGCTGATCTAAGCACAAAGAGGGCTCTTTCAGTTCAGAGAAAGGAGGTTTATAGTGTGTGGGAGAGCTAGGAATAATGGACTCAATTGATAGACTGGAGATGCTGTCAGTTTCTGAGAGCTTGGAAACTCCGTCTATAGATCCGTCCCAGAGGGCAGAGGCAAATAAGGGCAGATGGAAAACACAGCTTTCTTGGGTACTGGTTTTCGGCTCCTCCAAGGCAAAAATACATTCACTCTGTAGCACCCTGAATCAATTTTCCACAATATGATGCTGTGCCCTTGTTTACCAGTGCCTAAAAATAAGTCTTTGTCACTCATATTTTTATTCTTTTTTGTCTTAAAGCCATTCGGCCAGATTCATTTGCAGAATATTAATTGTGGCAAAGAAGAAATCAGAGGACTGCATTGAAAGTACCTTCAAATGGATCTCCTAATGATGACTGACTTGTCACCTCCAGCTAAAGTCTCCCATCATGCTCCTTGCCAATTGCAACTGTGGGACAATAAATACACAGCTAATTTAGAATTAGCTTTTCTTTTTAGGCGGGGCATCAGAGACTGACAAATTCTAACCTAGGGCTGTGACAGCACTTTAAGGACTAGTGCGGCAAGCCCTGCAGGGCAGTAAGTTTCACTAATTTATTTTAGTATTGCCTTGCCGTAGCCTGTTTATATTTACATTGCCCCTGGCATATCTGTTCTTCTACAAACATTACATTTTTAAACCTCTAAGCTGGATGTGGTGATGTGTGACTCTAGTCTCAGGTGCTCTAGAAGCTGAGTGAGGAGGGTGGCTTGAACGAAGAGGTTTGAAGTCAGCGTGTGAAATACACCAAAACCCCATCTCAAAACAAAACAACTGCAAACCTTTCATCTAGCAGTTTCCAGATAAAGTTCAGTATTAGTCATGTATGAAGTACCAAGGTAGTACAGTTCTTCAGTTCTGTCGTGAGGTTGGAATAATTCAAAGGACACAATGTTTGATTGATAACATTCTTAACTTTATTTTCTTTAATTTTATAAAATACATTTTGTAAGATAAGTTTCTAAAAGTTTATTCTTTATGTGTGTTAAAATTGAAATTCTATATCGGAAATAAAGGAAACACTTTCAGTTGATTAAATTTCTTTGTGTGTGTACATGTGTATATGTATTCATGTGAGGTTTTCAGAAAAGGGTTGGTTATTTGTTATGTTATTAAATCAAAACAAAACACAAAATATGTATTACTTCACTTTCCTTGATCTTGATTGGTTTCTTATAGAGCCTTTTTCCTCTCCTCCCTTTATGTAGCCTGGAAGCTCATCTTGTATTCTGGTCTAAAAATAAATATCAAGCTTCTTTTTGTAAAGATACTACGTCTCCTAAACATTGCTAAAACCTAAACCGCTTTAGGGGAAAAGAAAACATAATTCTTTAAAACCAAAGAACTGCTATAAAATTCTTGCCTTCAGTAAGAATCAGTGTGATATATATATTTGTTTAACCCAAAGTTAACAAAAACAGAAAAAGACTGAAATCCAGAAGCTGTTCAGGTTTCAAACTCTTCTGTCCTTTTTCATGGAAGTTTGCCAACTGAATAGCTGACAGCTGGTGCATTCCGTTATGCAATCTACGCCAGGAAAAAATAACCTCTATGGTAAATCAAACTCTTAACATGCCAAGATAACATCACTAAGCAAAATAATCTCTGATTAGCTGGAAAAAATGATCAAACAGGTTATTCAAATTAAGGATCAAATTCACCGAATCTGTTTCTACAAAGGGCAGAATACTTGTAGAAAATTCCAATAGTTTCACGGAACTAGCCTATTTTATTTTATTTTTTACTAGCCAATTTTAAATATCATTTCTGATGTTGACTGTTCAGCTGTCCTTTTTTAAAAGAAGAAATATAATCAAAGACTCATTCTCCAGACCTTTCTGATACAACCCCAAACAAGTGATAAGCAAATTGTAAAATGTGAAATGTGCATCGTTCTGAAACAAGTCAAGATCTTCAAATCACTTACTATGACTGAACGGGTAAAACCCTATGAAAAGAGCACCATTGTGAAGATATGACAGAGGCCAGAGCACACAATAATTGAACAGAAGAAAAGACGTGCTATCCAAAGAGTTATCTATCCTGTGTCTACCAGAGGGCCATCCTGAGCTACGCCACTAGCCGCCAGTAACTGTTGCTCTTTAGGCCTGTCTTCTTTTTTTCTGAGTAAGCTAGTTTCCTTCTATTCTCAGCTCCTTGGAAACCACAGGGTTGCCATGGTAGCAGTTATTAAGTAGAAGGGAGTGAAAAGATGCTGACAACACCCTGTTTCTCTTCCTAACTAGGTATAAGGCCAGATGCCCCCTTAGTCTACACAGACACTAATGCTTCCTTATACAATAAGTAAGATTGGCTGAGTTAGGGCTTAAATAGTCCATCACCACTGGGGTCAGAGCTCTCTTTCTGAGGGTGAAAGATCCTTGCTTTGACCTCCCTTCCCCCAGCTGCATAGGCAGATTTGGGCAAATGTTCTTATTATTTTGATGGTATTTTCCCTTCTATCTGTAGTGCTAATAGGGAGACAGGAATGAGTTCTCTGTTTTGTACGCCAAGGAGAATATATTTGGCCCCTCTAGATGGCAAGGGACCAAAGACATTCCTTCTCTCTACCTGAACATCTTTCTTTCCATTTTGTTTCCATCCGTGGAAGAGGCCTTTGAGAAGGAAGTACTTCTAAGTCCTCAGGAGATGCTTAGAAATTGAATTAGAGCTTCCATTTCTTTGTAACTTGCAGTTGGGGAGTCACCTCACACATTTCCCATTTCTCACAGGAACCAGCTGTGAAGCAAAATGACTAAAAGAGGTACATAAGAGGGAGAGTCCACACAGAGGAATTAATCACTGCAAGACTCTCCTATCCTGTTACACTCATCAAGTAAGAAGAGGACCAGTCAGCAGCAAAGGCAGAGTTAAGACGGGAGACGCAGTGTTGTAGGCTATACGGTTAGAGCCTCGCTATTAGGGAAAAGGGGGATTTCTACTGGAGATCAGAACTTGGTGCCTCGGCCCATGAGTTTAAGAACGGCGAAGTTGTAAGTGGCAGCGATCATAAAGGTGAGCTGTAGGGAACAGAAGAGAGAATATGAGTAACAGTAGAAAAGGAAGCTCTCCTTCCTCAAATCCTGTTGGGAATTCAGAGGGTAGAAATAAAAGCATAACTAAATAAAGGAGGAAATTCTCCTTTGGGAAAAAATGCAACACCTCCCAGGCTTTCTGTCCATACACTTGAGTCGAAATCCTCTTTGAGGTATTTCCTTCCAATGGCCCAGGCCTAAAGAACTGAATCAATAAAGGTTTATGCCACACCTATGCTCAGTCTAGCACCTGGATTTCCTCAGGGAAGTGAACAGCACAAAGGTACTGTCACATTCACATGTCTGAGTGACTTGTAGCCATGGGGTGCTTGCTGTAGACACACAACCATAGGATGGAGCACAGACTTCCTTTGCTTAATGCATCAATTTATTTTATAAAGTGAAAAATCAGCTAACTTTATACAAAAGCCTCAGAAGTAGGGGAGAAAATTCTCTGAACTCATCCTTGTCCATTCACTGCTTATCCAACGATTTCAGGTAAATTGCTGCACTGTTTAGTGCCCGAGGTTTTTAATCTCCACAGTGAACACACCTCTTTGACACTGCACCACATCATCAGTTAAACCCAGAACACAGAATTGCATTATAATCATAACAGTTCCAATAATGGAGGTCTTTCCAATATTTCCATGACAGTATCTAAATCCATTGGAGATCACCCAAGATGGACTAATATTTATAGTATATAGAATGCTAGACGATAGCCAATCATGTTTAGTAATGTTTCAGTATTCATGTAACTGACTGGCCAGGCTATGTTGAGAATCAACCGTAATCTGTGACTACAAAGCATTTAGCAATATTACGTGATGTGTCAAAATCCTATGTCATCACTCATTGCTACGAATATCTTAATTCCCTTTTCCTGACATCATTTTTGCTGTTCCTCTCTAATTGCTGAAATCTTTCTACCTAGCAAACACAAATCGGAAGTGTATAACCCTACCCCTTCCTCTATCTTCCTTGTAGTTTCTCTTCAGCATTTCAAGCTTGGAAAGAGTCAGTCTTCTTGCCTTTCAGCATAGCTGTACCTAACCGATCCCAGAACTCTCTATTTGCTGAGATCATTCAAAGACACTCACCAGGGAAACCAGTGTGGCCGCAGCCCCCACAAACGCAGCAATAAACAGGTGGAAGGTCATTTGGAACTGCAGGAAAATGTGAGAAGGAAAACTATTTCTTACCACAGCAAAAACAAAAAAATATGATCTACTATAAATGTGAATGCAGCTTTCTGTACACACTGATATTTTTGTGTGTTAATTACACATCTCTAGGGCTGGGGATTTAGCTCAGCGGCACAGCGCCTGTCTGGCAAGCGCAAGGTCGTGAGTTCAATTCCCGGTATCGGAAAAAAAAAAAATTACACATCTCTAAATGTTTGCCTGTATGTGTAGACTTCCAGTTCTTCAGTGTAAAATACACTCCCTGCCGCACTGCACCCAGAACACAGACAACTCATACAATCGTGCAATGCTGCCAAGTAATCAACTCTTTCCCTACAGCTGTGTCCAGGGTCTCAAAGTTTAAATTCAACACTTTGCTTTCAAAGAAGTTCTTCAGTACCTTTCTCCCCAGGATTTACTCTTATTTCCTTGTCTCATTTGTGTATATCTGTTTTCAATAAAGTGTTTTCCTTTTTCAAATGTACTTCTTTGACCTCTCATTAGAGATTAACTAGTTCCAAATTGAAGGAGTTTTATAGAACTGATGTGTGTCTCTGTGCATAGCCCATTTTCTTGATATGGTTTGTAACTAAAAGGTGAAAATTTTCATTTGGGGAATTTCACAATTAAACTCTATCTCTGCTTAAAGCTACACATTTTTCTTTAAGGGAAATGTTCTGGAATAGTTTTTCTATGCTGCTCAAGGGAAAATGAGTGTTTTTAGCCATCCATGCTCATTGACTCAGGCATACTTAGCCAATATTCCCTAGAACAGTAATCTTCTAATTCAAAATACACCAAAGAGAAAGATTAAAGCCCACAGGTAGAAATTTCTACGCTATAGTTATTTCATTGCAGAATAACCCAAATGGCCCACTCACCTCAGCTGTTTTGCAGATCGACAGGAGGTTGGAGCCGCAAACCTTGCCAGGGAAAGCATTCCACGGAAGAACACCTAAGTAAGATGTAAACAGCAACCATGGTAAGCTTCATGGAGTTAGCGGGCCACACGGAGACACCCCACCCCAAGTCCTTTCTCCTCTAATTATTCTGGCTGTAAAGTTGGATACTGCCAACAATCAGGATCCTATTTTCCAAAGTTTTATGTAAAAAACACAAAGGTGCTCTCTAATAGTTGAAAGTCTTGTGGTTTTTATTGAAATATGTTGCTTTAGGGCTGAAAATAGCAGTTAACCAGATTAGGACAGCAGGAACGGCCGAGAAAACCCGCACCACTTCCAAGGTCCCTTCCCAGGGAAGAAAGTGCTCCTGTTTCAGTGGGAAGGAATTAACAAACTGTAATGCAGGCACTCATTATCTTGCATTTTGCCCATTACCACCACCCTCCTTACACTAAGAAAAGAAATAAATATATGTTGCTTCCGTGGCTGGTAGGGGAGCTAAGGCACCAGTACCCTAACTCACCATACATTCTGGCATCAGCGCAGAGACTGCCTATACTGGCAGAGGTCTTGCTGGGGAAGGCAATAGATTGGCAGGTAGTCCACGTATTGAAGTAAATGTACACAGGCACAGCAGAACAGGCAAACACCAGGAGCCACACAATGGTCAGGGCATAGGTGATGCCCACGAACTAGAACAATTGACACGGAGTAGTTAGAAATCAGCATCAGGCTGCAGATGTTGAAACACAAACTGGGAGATCCTGGAATGGTCTGTGCCAATGAAACCACACTCCAGGGATCTCCCCCAAATGAAATTAGCGAGCAGGACGCCTCTGCCAAGTGTTACTGGCAGCATTTACTAGAGAACTGGCCCCAAGTGTGACGGAAGGAAGGGAAAATAGGGAAGGGGTTGGAGTGAGGAGGACCCCTGGGTTAGAGAGGCTTCAGGGGAGTTTTTTGGCAAATAAGGTGTAAAGAAACCAAAACAGATCTGGAAAGAAAGTCGTGCCATTTTGTGCCTTCGGCTGAGCTTAGAAAATGTTCCTGCTTTCAGGATTTTGGTTCCCTGGTCACTGAATAAAGCCAATAAGATATTTACATTTCAAATACAAAAACCTTTCCAAGCAAACTGCTGGCCATAAAAAAGAAATCACCACAACCCACACATGCTCAGCTCCCAAAAGGCCTTTCTTTTCTATTTTTCTTTTTGTGGTGCTGGGGATTGAACCCAGGACCTTTACATGCTAGACAAATTTTGCTCTATCACTGAACCAAATCCCCAGCCCAGCCCACAAAAGATCTTTAGAGACTGAAAACTAATGTATGTTTTCCCAGAAGCATAGATCACTTTCATGAAGAGACAAATCATTAAATATGTAGATTTACTGTAATTCCCTCTGGGACCTCCAACAATGTAAGATCCCAAAATATTGTGCATTCTACCTTGGCGTTAGTTAATTTCTATGATACACCCTTCCTCTGAGAGGTAAGACTCAATCCCATGAGCAGCATTTTAGACTCATGCAGTCAGACCACTCTTGTGGGCCCTCCTAGGAAGGGAGTAAATGGATACCAACAGATGGCTTAGAAATGGTCTGATTATTCAAAAGCATCCCAGAAACTCATGCTTTTCATTTTGATATAAAATTTGCTAGGGAACCTTTAAAAGGTGAGGCTAAGCCAGCCAGGCACCACGTTCTTCCTGACCATCTCATTTGGCTGTAGCCATCGCTTCCTCACTCAAAAGCCAGGCCCCTGGAGAGGACCCAGCCTTGGGTGGGGATGAGACCACAGATTTATGCCCAGTTGTCCCCCACCCCTTGTTATTGCCACAAAATCCTGAGGATGATCACCTTGTCGGGATGTCCTAGCCATTTTCCCAAACAATGACACACCCGCTCCAAAGAATGAGCTTGATGTTGGCCTCTGGAACCCCTCCCCTTCTGGCCCCCTGTTACCGTTGCGCTCAGGCCCTTGCCGCAGATGGTGGTCTTGTAGTCGCCAAAGATCTGCCTGACTGCACCGGTGGTGTAGAAGCCCTCAGCCAGCAGGAGGGCCCCATAAAGGAAGAAGAAAGAGGCAGTTCCATAGATGACATACTGGAAAGCATGGATCCTGCATTAACAGATGGAAGAGAGCAATCGTGTGAACTGAGAACCTAGCTCTTTTCTCACGTAAGTGAGATCTATCTATCTATCTATCTATCTATCTATCTATCTACCTATCTTCCTATCTATGTATCTATCTATCTATGTATCTATCTATGTATCTATCAACTATCTTCCATCTATCTTCCTATCTATCTACCTATCTATCATCTATCATCTACCTTTCCTATCTACCTACCTATGTATCTATCTATCATCTATCTATGTATCTATTTATCTATCTGTCATCTATCTAAGCTGCACCTTGACAATGTTAAAGCATCTTTAGAAGAATCACTAGGATTCTCCCCTATGCTTTCACTTTATCTTTACTGAAGTCAGTGAATACAGGTAGCCAAGCAGCCAGGAGCACAGGCTTCTGCCCCCACCTGTTGCCTAACCTACAAGCTAAAGAACCAGGAGGGCCCTCTTTTCTTTTGCTTGACCCTTCAGAGATGCTACCTCATAGAAGAGAGGAGCTACACAGAAAGGGAGAGAGCTGAAAGGTCAGCAGTCTAACTTGCTCTATGAGCAGGAGTTCAGCACTAAGCCTGAGCAGACGTACACAGTGTGTCAAACCAAGAGAATGAAGCCTATTCTTTGGAGTCATTGCGCCTCCCCTCCGTTCTCCATACCTAACACTGTAGGGGCAAGTCAAGCAACACTGGCTGTACCCACCAGAAGCTAGAACATGCATGAGAAAACAAGGATAAGGCGGGGGGGCGGCTGGCAGACAGAAAGACCACCCCATTCTGAATCTGGCACTCTTTCTCCCTGCATTTTGGAATTCAGGTGTGGCACAGATGGGGTCTCCACACAGAAGGAAAACCCAGGAATCCTGTCTGACTCTACCCCGACCCCCTACTAGTTCACAGAGGTACTGAGGAATTCCGTATCTCAAAGATGAAGCGGAGAAAACAGATGAGTCTGTGTGAGATGACAGGTACTTACACATTGATGAGATATTCATAGTCCTGGTAGTTTTTGGAGAAATAGGTCTCAATTAGTTTTTCTGTGCCAGTGAGTGCTTCATGTCCACAACCACAGAACAGTGCCACTCCAAAGAAACACAATCCAGTGGCCACCAGGGAAGCAAAGGGGGCCCCTACCAGACATCTTGCACAGCACTCTAACAAACCTGGGAAGGAAGAGAGGGAACAGTGAGGCACACACATGGGGTAACTCATCTACGCAATACCTCTGTGCCACACGGGGTGGCCCTGTGTTGCCAAGCCCTGAGAAATCGGTCACCCTGAAGTCCAACAGCAGGAGAATCTAGAGGTTTGGGTTTGGAGCATGTGACATTGACCCAGAATCCTCATGTTGTTCCATTCTTTAAAAGAAATCCTTGCTCTTCATTCCCAATACTATGGTTATTTTTAAAAATAATTCAGTAACTCAAGTAGTAAACCAGAGAGATTATGGAATCAGTCCCTCTTTTCATATTGTTGCAGTCTTTCTGTTTGCTTGTTTTAGTCATCCATCAACTATTTATGGGCTATTTACCATGTGCCCGACATTGTGCTGGATTTTAATATGGGTGCTGAAGACAAAAAGATGTAGATTCAGTCAGATGGAAGTTTTCAGATCACTGAGGAAGAATTAACTAGGTAGACCTAATATTTTCAACTAACAATTCCAGCCAGTGAGGTAAATGATTACCAAGGGTAAATGCACTTGTAGTTCCAGAATAGATGAGTGCAAGCCAGAAATGTTGATATTATCAGACATAATTTGAGCCTAGAGAGCATTCCAGGTGGAGGAAACACTGGATATTTCATGCTCCTGGATATCCTGAATGCTGGGTATATTTGTTGCAAGGAATGCTCAGTTCTCAGTCTGGATATGTGGAGAGCAGTGCAAAGAGAAAGGCTCTTCTCAATTGTCTATCGTGTCCCATGGCAAGCCAAGAAATGATAATCGGAAGATTGCTATTATTCACAGTAATAAAAATGCAGGCTTAATGATTTTTCGTCACTTGGAATGATTGTCTTACCCTCTGTATGGTAGCATGGCCAATGCCCTCATCCTTGGTCCCAAACTAAGATTTTGTCAGTACAGCCACAACGAGACCTTAAACAAAGTCAACCAAGCAAAAAATGTCTTTCTGGTACAAGGAAAACACACCAGGGCCTGGGGACATCCGGGTTTTATAGTGCTAAAAATCCCTGAGGTCCCCACACCTGGTACCCCTGCCCAGTGCCAATGTTTCTGAGAAACAAGAAGGCGTACAAAAATTCATAGGCTCTAGAAGCAGCTGTGTCACAAGGACTAGCCCCATTTTTTAAGGTGCCCTGTGCGATGAAGCTTATCAAATGCCAAGTCAAAGACTCAATAGATGGGTAAATGGGTGCCTCCCTCTGGCCTCAGAACCCTAAATGGGGAAAAAAAACCCATTAATCTCTTCAGACAAAAATTTTAAATTAATATATATATTTGTACATATACATATATCAATGTATACAAACAATATAAAGTGCATGTGTGTACATGTATATAATATATACTTATATATGCACATGTGTATAAATTACATATATACCTGATTGTGTGTGTCATGTAGTATGCATACACACAAGTAACCAGCACATGTGCTGGCAAGGTGTGATGTTTGGATAAACATGTTGTGGTTCCTTATAGAAAGAAAATAAATTGTATTAACTGATTTGGGTTTTTATATCTAAGCATTTCTCCAAACTAACTTTACTTATTTATAACAGCGTGCCAAGAGACATGGGAGTCCTTTTTCTTAGCCCTTAATTCTACCACAGTTTCTTTTTAGTCTTGAGTGCTTGAATACACAGAGATTTGCATGGCTGAATAGCATCAATATGAACAGATTTTCAAGGACCAAATTGTCTCGATCACTTGTCTCTGGTCTTAAAGGCACAAAATAAGGGAGTCCTATTACCCATCATTCCCTGAAATTGCAGCCCTTCCCTGCACTTCAAAAAGCCTCTTCGTCAAAGATCCTTGTAAAAAAAAAAAAAAAAAAAAAAAAAAAAAAAAAAAAAAAGATCCTTGTATACGTCACACCAGAGAGGAAGCTTAGAAGTTCAAGCCAAGCAAAGCATGTAGCAAACATCTGTAACAAAATTGTGCTCCTTTCCTTTTCCATGAACTAAATTGAAATACTACTGCCAGAGAACTTGGCCTCCATGAGAAACAATCGATTTGTAGTTGTGCCACTGTGAGTGGAGGCTGAGATTACTCAGCATGAACTTCCCAAAAGTGCTTAGTAAGAGCGCCTCATCGCTGCTGCCCTGTGGTGTATGCATGCACATATGTTTTATATACATACATGTGTTCATATATGCAAAACACACACACATGTACCAGAGAGAAAAACAGAACAACTGAAATTGATCACTGTTCTGAGGATAGATTGTAGAAACTGACCTTCTTCTTTGTCAAGATACTAGATGCACCGTGTCAATCAATTAAAGGGGCTCAGAAGTGAACAGTACTGCTGTTTGCCTTCTCTGGTCTGCCAATGTCTTCACACCCTTGAACTCTTACACTGTTCTAGGAAAGAAGCTTTCTGTAGTTTGAGGGTGGGGGGAGAGAAGGTCAGTGATCCTGCTTTTCCCTCTCTCATCAGCACAGGGTCAGAGTTTGGACAGAGCCCTCTATAGCTCCCTTAGACAAAGAAGCCTTGTTTTTCTCTGGAGATCTCAGGAGCCTCATTGGTATTCTGCAGGGGCCTTCAGGCCTGGGGGTGGGGAGGGGGTCAGACCCAGGGAACAATGACAGGACTGTTTCTTTAGCTCAGGGTAAGGAGAGCCACCCACCCAAGCAAGTGGCCATCCTGGGCCCACTCAAGCTCACCCCAGCCTTTTCACCCAGGGAAGGGCTAAACGGCGGTGCAGGTGTGATCGGGGATAGAGAAACTAGAACTCTTGCTAGCCAAATGGAGAATTCCACTGCGGGTTTTAGCTGATGCACCCTCTATATAATACATGAAGGATGATTTTTCCTCTCATCGTGCTAAGATAGCCTGTCTTAAAGATGAGAGGAAAAACCATCCTTTAGTGTATTTGATCCCTTGATCATTGTCCAAGTAACCAAAAGGCAGGGCTGGGGGTTTAGCTCAGCGGCAAAGCGCCTGCCTGGCAAGCGCAAGGTCGTGAGTTCGGTTCCTGGTACCGGAGGGGGAAAAAAAAAAAAAAAAACCCAAAAGGTATCATAAGTAGTGTTTTTACTGGGTGACAAGCTTTCAGAGGGACTCTGAATCACTTGATGCCTTAATTATTTACATCCATGTTTCTCTATTTTCTTAGCAATCAGATAACTTAGCACCCATTTTTCTGTTCCACTGGTGCTCAAAGCAAGAGACAAGAAGGGCATAGTTTTCAATGCATCTCTAATGCGGAGTCTGAAATAAATGGTCTTAGGTAAGTCTACCACTATTGAGCCATAAACAATTTAACAGTACCTGCATAAGCATCAAATGTCCATCTCTTCACACTTCAGGTTAAATATTTATTGGGAGGGCATTTAATTTGGCAAAAATGGAGAATCTCAGTCAGTCCAACAAAATACCAAATTTTGAATTTCATTTGGGAAAATCTTGTTACATGTAAGACATTATCTTTTCAGAAAAGTATTTGATAACTGAAGCATTCTGAGAAAGATCTATTGGGTTTGCTCTGATTTTTCACAGCCAAACAAATGAACTTGGTTATGTGTAAATAATACCCTAAAACCACAGCCTGTCCATTTCAAAACTCCTCATAATTAAAAGGATCTGAGCTGGATTTAGGAAGCTTGTGAGAAATCAGGAGAAGTTCTTTGCTGTCTCGAAAGACATTCTCATACTTTCAGGCTTTCAGAGCCCATGACGTATAGAGAGGGCATAAAAGAACTATACACTAATAATATTACTCAGTGAACTCAATTGGATTAAACTGCCTGACCCTTCTCCACTGTTTTCCTTTCATTTCTATTTATGTGGATTCAGGACAAGCATTAAACACATTAGCAGTGACCTAGAGACAATGAAAAACAGAAGGGGATTAGGAGGCCCAATAGCTTTCTACAGAGAACTCACGATTTTATTTGGGAGAACAAAATTATACCTATAACCAAAAACAAAGTTATCTAGAAGTATGTGTTAAAACAGATATAACCAAGTCCTGCAGACAAAAGTAAGCAAAAGAATGAATCAGTTCTGAGTTGACTACAGTTATCTGCAAACTCTGCAAACAAATCTAATTAATCCATAACAGAACTTCAAGTCTTTCTCACCAATGTTCTCTGATAGAGAGAAACCCAATCACCGTGACTCAGTCCAGGTCTATCGTAGTGATTGTGTTGATCGTGATGCTGTCTCTTTAAGCAGAAGCCAAGAACTACCAAGCCCTCCCTCCTTTCCCATGCCCTGGGCACGCCTCAAGGACTAGCTCCTAGATGGAAATTCAGTGTGAATTTGGGAACTTATCAAAGGGAGGAAAGGAAGGGTTTTCATCGAAAGGAATGGTAGAAAGAGACCAATTGTACCCTGCACAATTCCCAGCTTGTCCCTTGAATCCAGCTGACAAAGGGAGAGATAGAAGAACCCTGCACAATAGAGCTAAACAACAGGCAGGCTCATTGAGTGAGAAACTGGCCCCATCTCCCTAAGTCTCGAATCTGCACTACAGTCTTACCCGCCTCCCAGAACCCACCCCTTCACCTCACCCCATGAACAGAGGCCTCCTTGATCAGGGCATGTAGCAGTTGACAGGGCCAAGATACTAGAGCAGCCGTGACTGGCACTAGGGATGGATGGGGATCAGTGAGTGGGTTCTAGGAGTGAAACAACAACTATCAGGAGGTACCAGAGACAAAGACTTTTGCTTCTAGCCTGATTCTGGTCAGACAAAGCCCTGCCTATAATCTTGTCTTTCCTACATGATATCAGTACCACATTCAGGTGCTGGAAAGGAGTCCTGCAGCCACTGGGGTCTGGGAATCCAAGCCTGCTGGATAGTCAAATCGTGTGTGCAAGGTTCAATTAAAAGAAGTTCCAATCTCCTTTTTAGGAAAGGAGTGTTATCATGGTAACAGCATTCTGGACCATCTTGTGTCCTGTATTCCTTTATAGGCGCGCGCGTGCGCGCGCACACACACACACACACACACACACACACACACACACACACATGCCAATTTCTGTGCAAACATTAGGATGCTGGAGTACAAGCTTGACTGTGAAAGCTATCCCGGGCACACTGGCTCCACTTTGACCATTTATGGGGAGACGAAAGACAGGTACCTGGCACTAGTGACAATAGTAGCTGTACCTCATTCCTTAGGCAGTCTCCCACCAGTTTCTCTTCTCTCCTTGGTTGATCTGGGGGAAGCTGATCTGAGGGAAGTTGTTTTCTTCCTTAAGACTATTTTGAAATAGCCAAAGAGATTAATCAGTCAGTACTTGGTGAGGTTTTGATGTAAGTTTGGCATGTGTTGGGCCTGTGAGCAGGGCAGGAAAGGAAAACTAATTTGTTTACCTTCCTAGTTGATGTGACCGTTCCTGATCATGTCACTGCCTTGAATTTATCTTCTCTAGACATGAAATTCTGTGAAAGGAGAAGGCATGTCTATGTTGCTTTTTATGAAGTCAAAGAATTGCACTGGAGGGATGATATTTCAAGGCTTAAAGATGGTGCACAAAAAGGCAACGGTGAAAATGATGTTATTGGCCGGATTGCTACCTTAATGTGTTTGGAGACTACGTGTCCCCTCCCACTCACCTCTCAGGGTGGAGGAAGTTATTGCTCAGAGAAAGCCAAGGAACTGTCCAGCTGTTGAGTAGACTTCTCACTTTCTTGGTTCAGACCCATGGTGTAAGTCCCCTAAAGCAGGGCAAACTTTTAATCTGCCTGGCTTTTCCAGAGCTATTCAGGCTCTTCAGGGCCAAGGTGAAAAGTTGGATGAGGAAGGCTACCCTTGATCAATATCTCTAGGACAAGTAAGTGAAAATGCTGCTTTATGTGCAGTGTCTTTTTATCTCCTAGTATTCTTACCACGTTCATAGGATTCTGTCAGTCTTCAGGCATTTGGTAAAACTGAGTCTCTGCTCTGCTTCCATATTTTTTGTACAGGGTACACCCACTTACTCCAAGCGAGCCAAAACTACACTGCTTAGCAAATGGCCACTTTGCGAGGAAAGCATTACAGTCTGGTTACCATGGTAACAGTCCCAGGCTTGCAGAAGCCAATGTTTTGCTGTTCAATAATGGCCTTGTGTTACAGAGCAGACAATAATCAGCTACCACGTTTTGGCTCCTCTCTTGTTCTTTTGCTATTCCAACGAGTCATTTGGAACATCTCTCTTTCAAGGTGGGACGAAGTTTAATGAGCTATCACTTCCCTCACAAAGCTACGCGGTGGAGGTAGTGAGCTTCCTATCCCTGGAGATGATTAAGCAGTGGCAGTGCACATGTTTAATTGATGTTGTAAACGTGAATTCTGTATTGAGGGTTGGCTTAGATAACTTCTAAAGTTACATTCAACTCCAAATTAAACAGTATCACACTCTACATCAGAACTAATAGCAGTGTAGTACCTTGTTAGAGATTGCCTGTTACTGCATATGGTCCACGTAGTGCCCATTCCAGGAGCTGGGACCAAATAAATATTCTCAATGATGCCCTTATCTGTGCCAGTCTCACTCTAGAAGAAATTACGCAGTCTCTGTAGCAAGAAAAAGTTCTTGTGATCACCTTACTTGTTCTTATCTTTTCTTCAAGGGTTTCATCCCCTGAAGACGTAACATTCAACTTTCTTCTTTATAACCCTTTTTGTTTCAAATGCATAACCTACCCAATCAACTGCCCTGACATTAGATATGGAACTGAGTTCCTCAACATCCACTTCATACCTGGAGACATATAATTGGTCAAGTGATTCTTACCCAAGAACAAAAAAAATGTGCTCAAAGAAAATCCAACCACCTTGAAAGGGGTAAGAATCTTCCTCTACACACGTTACTCCATAATAGGCAGTGTTATGATTGACAATTGTTATAATGTTTTCCAATTTTCAGAGGAGTTCCACATCATCATAACTTGATCCTCAATCTTGAAAGCAGACAAAGCAGTTATTGCTCTCCTCAGTTTCTAGATGACAAAGTAGTTATTCACAGCGATCCACCAAGGCTAGACAATTCATTAAATGCAAATCTGGGACTGCAGACTTCCTGCTCTAACTCTTACTCTAGTGCTCTACACTCTTAACTATCATACCTGAATACATGTTTCAAAGAACTTTCTCAGTGATTCAGGAGGAAACAAGCTAATGGCTGATAACAACTTATAATTGAGAACCTCCCTCTCTGGACCTTGTTGTCATCTACATGGTACTACATTTGATGGTGAATATGTGGGCCAATTGAATCTTATGTCATTCAGAAAGTGTTTGAGCTGCCAGCCTTGTTTTGCCAAATGTAAGCAATTCTACATGTCTCTGTGGGCTCCTGTATGGATGAAGACCCTTGTACTCTGTAAGTCTTACTCTGTATAGATACTACCACATAACCGCAGGTCTCTCTTTGTTCACAGGAAACCTGGAAAACTTCCATTTCTCAACCAACTCAGCAAGAGTGCTAAGTTCCTATAGCCTGCTTGTCATAGCAGGGATTAAGGCTGAATCCCACGATCTTGACAAGAAATGGCCACTCATATGTGTGCATGCATACACAAACACACACAACTTCCATGTCTGTGGCCCATGGTGAAGCCACTGAAGACTTTACTTTCATTTCCTGAACCTGAGAATGCCCTGCTTTGCCATGGCCTAGCCTGAATCCTGCTTGCCCAGTTGTCCCAACTTCCTACTGATACCAAGCACGGTTCAAATTTTGTATCCAGCAAGCATTTATTTCATACATTTGAGGACTAGCTAACACTTCATTGCCTCCAGTAGAACCAAGGGTTCCAGCTGACCTAGCCATAGCTAAGGCCTTAGAATCAAAGAGAAGGTAGAAGGAAGAGAAAGGGAAGGAGGACACATAGCCACATACATCCTTCTCTGCGCTCTCTCCAAAGATCTGTGTGGCTCCACACACGCTGCTGGAATTTTTGGCATTATAGCATCACGCTCAGTACAGCAGAGAAGGAGTTAATCTAATTGAATCCTAAGGAATTAAAAAAGAAAGCAAGTACCAAAACGCAATTCATTTAAGCCACTGGAAAACCCCAAAGCCCAAATTTGGAAATTATCTTGTGAATTCCTGTGCCTGCTTGAATCTTTGATGCTAAAGTTTGTGAAACTCACCCATGTCTTTGGGACTCTGACTCCAATTGCAGCCGGCTGGCTAGTCTGCTTTGCGTCTGACTCTGTTCAGCTGGTCAGATCCTGGTCTCTCCAGTCTCCTTCTTCAGTCCTTTACTTTTTCTCTCTGAGTATCTTTGTCCTCTTCTCCTGCAATGAAAAGGGCTTTCTGATTGACAGCCAACCCCCTTAAAGGGACAGGCTTGTTTTCCTCCTCCTCTCCTCCTCCCTTTCTCCTCCCCTTGTCCCCACCTCCTTAGGGATACTCCCTTCTTTAAGGGGTCCTTCTTCTCTTTCTGCCTTTCACTGACAATTGTTTCATTTTTGTTTCTTCTTTTTCCCTAAGGCTTTTCTGGGTTTTCACTGTGCTGTAAGGACATCTAGAAATATGGATTGGGGGTAGAAGTAAAAAGAAGAGTTCCTGAAAGCCTCCAACTGATCCTTGGGTCTATTAGTGTGGGATGTGGCAGCACAAGCAGGAGAACCCATAGAAGTGGTGGCAGTGATGAAGGGGTCAGGGTCAAAAACCTACATGTTGTCTCACCGAGTTCTTCCAAATCTGTCCAACGCACCCCTTGCTCCTGGTTGCGCTTGGTCTTCTCCACCTTTCCCCTTCCCTTATTTATTAGCAAACAAACACTTCTCCTCCTCCCAGCTCTAGAAACAAAATAAAGACAAATTGGTCTTTTAGAATAATTACCTTCAAGTGCTTCTTCTTTTTACCTGAATGAGAACAAAATGCCTGTTGTTGATTCCATGATAGATCGTGACCAAGCTGTAGGATAGGATGGTGATAATTGCATAGGTAGGACAACAGAGACCCAGAGACAGGTAAGACCTCTGTAAATTCACATAACAAGCTAAAGAAAAAGCCAGAGTCAGGTATGCGGGTAATTTCCAAGGAGAACGATCAACTTTGAGACAAGTCAAGAACATGGTGTTGGAACTGGTTAGTAAGAATTTCATCCCAAGAATGTAGTGTATTTGAAGAGCTGAGGCCAGGCTGGGAAGAAGCAGAGAGTGGGTTGGAGGGAAGCAGCAGGTGGCAGTGAGGGTGAAGAGGAGAAAGGAAATATAATCCTTGCCTCAGAGAAAGAAACACTAAGAAAAAATGGACAAGCAGCAAAAAACTGGAGAATACTACATGAAATCTGCCTTACTGCTAATAGTAATTTCTAAAGAAAGTATCTGAGGTTTTTTTTTTTGTTTGTTTGTTTTTTTTCCGGTACCGGGAACCGAACTCACGACCTTGTGCTTGCCGGGCAGGCGCTGTGCCGCTGAGCTAAATCCCCAGCCCCTAAAGAAAGTATTTGAGCACCAAGTGCTAGTTGAGATTAGCCAGGGTAGGTTCTGTAAAACAGACGAATCTTGAACAGAACCTGGGTTCACTGCCAGTGTTCCCTCTCCCTTCAGAAGCCTCCGAAGGCACAGGTCTCTTGCCCTAGAGTGCAGAGTCTACCACGGAGGGCCTATAGTGAAAGTGGTTGGCGTATAATAAGAGGGATACCTGTTAGAAGATGCCAGAAAAGAAATATATGGTCTCCTGGAACCGTTCCCATGGCTTTGCCTTGGAGTAAAAGAGAAGACAAGGGAGATATGTGCAGAGCCTAGAGTCTTTCTCTGAGAGGATAGGGGCAAGATTGTGCTATACAGTTTTTACTTTGGACCGTGTGGCCTTGAACATCATTCTGCCTTAGGCTCTGCCATTAGGAAATAGGTGAGTTTTTACGGCTGCCCCTGGGGAGTCATTGGAGTCTAGAGTTCTATAGTGTCTGAAGCTTCAGAGTCCTAGAACTCTAGATTCTTTGCTGTCATACTGGGCCCGACATGAAAGGATCCCTATGACACTGGCCCTTGCAGAATGGTATAGCAGAAGTTTCCAAAACAGACCAAACTAATGTCATAGGATCCATGGGGCAAAGAGTCTTGGGGCTCCTACCCTCCCAACCACTGCTCCCTAGCCATAGGCTGCCTGCCGTGGAAGTGCAGTTGTAGGACTGTGCCATCCATACACTTCTGAAGGGTCCTTGCCAGAGCGGCCCTGGACAAGAGCGATAATGAAAGCAAGAAGTTAGATGTGTGCGCTCAGTTCATCAGACGGCAGAAGGGACTGAGCCCAAAGTTTGGCGGTTCCTGGGTATAGCATGGGAGAGATGATTTTTCATAGCTCAAATAGACAAGACAGTTCTGTGTGCAGGGGCGATCACTCAGGCTGTCCTCTCACAAAGCTCCCCTCTGTGTTTTTCCAGAAGCTCTGGGGATGGCTATGCTATTTGGAAGAAAATACATTTTCCCAATAGAGTCACAGATACTAATTTATCCACCACATCCCCTAATTCAAATTGCTCTTCCCCCTTTATTATCTTACTATTCATTTAATTTCCTCCCCCAGACTCCATCTCTCTGTCTCTGTTTCTCCTTCTTTCTTGTCCTCCTCCTTCCCTTCAAGTTTTTCTTCCTCTCCTCCTCCCTTTCCTCCTCCTTCTTCTTCCTTTTCCTCTCCCTGCCTCCCTCCCCCTCTCTATCCTCTGTCTCTTTCTTTTTCTCTCTTCACAACTTTGATGGAACAGATCTTCCTGTCTCCACCTTGTTTTATACCAAGGGATGGAAAAGGTACCCGTATAGGTACTGTCATGTTCACTGTCTGCAGGGTCCTAAGGATCCCAACTTCAGTGAATCCTGACACTGCCTCAGCACTCTCTGAACCCTTGTCCTGAGCCCTCCCTACAGCCCTCATAGGGTTTCTTTAAATGTCCTCAAGAGGCCTTTATATCTGTGACTCCGCTTCCATTGGTTCTTCTGGCATTGGTGCCCTTGGCAAAATATTGTCAAGTCCAGCTAGACCCGTGTAGTGCCCAAGAATTCCTGAAGAGGGCACTGCCAGCCTTCATGGAAGCAGCCTGCTTTTTACTTTGGATGTCTGTGAGAACAAAGCAGGATTGTGGAACTTGTAAACAGTTTTCTTCATGTAGTTCTGATGGTACCTCAGAGAATCTGGGCCTCTTGATTACATCTTGATTTGGATTTGCAGCTTTCTTGCAAATAACTCTAAAACCCTAGGATATTATCTTCAATTTCTGCTCAGTGTTCCTGGTACTATGGTACCAAATCCCTAAAGGCCATAAAAAAAAGTGGGATCTCTGTGCTCTGCTGCAGAGAGTAAATTCTGAAATTCAAAGAAGTCCTGTGAATTTCTTCCAGAAAACTCAATAAATACTCAAGTGCCCAATCTGCTGGTCTACTTCTCCTCATCCACTTAGAGGATGGGAAATGGAATAGAGAAGACAAAAAAGCAGTGAAATCCAGGGGTCAGCTGCTGGCTTTTGGGCTTCTATAGCTGAGGTTTTGTTTATCCTCCCAAAGATAATGTCCTCAAAGACCAAATGTGGGAAAGCAAATGGCTACTTCTTACAGCTTTTCCAGCTCTGGCATAGAAAACTAGCTCACGAGCAGGCAGGTTTCATGCCCTATGTACTTGCAGCTGGAACTTTCAATACCCAACTCTGTGCCAATTGGCTTTGTCATGCCTTTCTGGCCACCATAACTGGAGGCTGAGAGCCAGAGACATCACATTCTTGAAGCCGGTATTCCAAAGTAGTGGAAGGGGTAGTTTTTGAACTTCTGTCTCTTGAAAATTTAAGGAGCAGTGCAAGGATGGACAGGCATGACTGGGGAATTGGATGTGTATTTGTGAGGGGGAGATGCTCTTGGTTTGGAGAAAAACTTAGAAGCCAAAATAATCAGACAAAATCAGGAAAAATGGGCCCAAGGAACACCGAATAGCTACCAGCAGTATAGAGAAGCTGGCTGTCCACATAAACCACCTCTACCTCCACGATAACTGGGCTAGCTCCAGATAGGCCACATGTTTTACATGATTTCTGGCCACAGCGGAAATAAAGCTTCTATCCTTGGCTGTAAGATACTAGTCTAACTTCAGTGGAATGAATGTTATTTTTTCCCCATTTGCCCAGTAGGTACAGAAGCAGCTTTCTCAATGCCACCTAGTAGGGAAAGGAAAGAGCACTTCTAAAGAATACCTCTCTTCAGACTCTTGTGGCTTGGAAGTTTTTTTTTTTTTTTTTTTTTTTTTTGGATGATTGTTCTGTGCTCTAACAGTATTTGAATTAAGAGTCTCTGCCCTGAGCAACAATAGCCTCCAGGAGGAGGACGGAGAGGCTGCCGTGGGCCATGTCTCAAATGCTTTATATTTCTCAGGCTAAGTAAGAGACCTATGTTCAAAATCCAGGACAGAGGTAAATCCTGTGCATTCTGTAGGATCCATGAAATTCTAAAATAGTGTAGGTCAAGAGAGATTAGATGACACTAAGGACTTTCTGTTATATTTTTAAGTATGATAAAAAAAATCATACCGTTTTTAAAGGGTCATTATCAGTTAGAAACGTATAGAGAAAGTTTCATATATGGAATGTCATGATACCAACGTTAGATGAAATAGCATTGGTCAAAATGTGGTAATTGAAGTTGGTGACGGGTACATGAAATTTTATTATACTTGTTTTTTCTACTTTGTGTATGGGTGAACGTGAAGTCAGAAAAGAGGAGCTGTTAAAGATTCAGACTAACCCAGAAGAAAAAAAGAAAATTTTCCCGTGAGAAACCTTTACTATTTCTGGAAGAATGTACACAGCCAGGTGAGAGCAGCTACGCCTTGAGAAGGGGCTGGGGATTAAGAGTGGGAAGGGGACTTTTCACTCTACGCTCTTCAGTATGGTTGCAATTTGTAATTATATGCATTTCTTACCTATCGTATTGAAAATCTCAATCGAAAAGTCCTTGGCCTGGGTGAGGGACAGCAGTCTGTATCCCCTTAGGTCTGCGCCACTGATCTCAGGTGAAGCTCTCACTGTGCAGACCGGACAGCATTCATTGTCTGTGCTGGCCACTCACGATGTCAGTATCCTTTTCCTACTTATGTCTCTGAAACTCAGGCTGCCCAGAGGCCCAAGGTTTGGCTCTGAAGAAGCTCTTCTTAGGCACAGTTCCATGGGGAAGAGAAGTGGCTGCTCCTGCCCTTCTCCTTGAAAGCCAGAAAGGTCCTCAGCCCAAGAAGCCGCCGTCTGGTGGAACAGGCACAAATGCAGGGCTGCATTTATCCCAAAGAGATTGGCTCTGGTAGCTGCTCAGAACTCTTTTATTCAAAACCATTGCCTTTCCAGAGATGTGATTCCACCTTTTCCAATACCACCACCATCATAATAATATAGTTTGTTTTCCCTCTGGAAAAAAAACAAACAAACAAGCCAACCCTCTCTGCTCTAGCTACTTGGCTGGTCGAAGGTATCAGTCTGGGCTATGCCACCTCAGCTGAAAACAGGATGCTATAGAGCAGACTGACTAACCCTGAAGCTGAGGTTATCTTCCTTGGGAAACTGTGCCAGAAGCCAGAATGGAGCAAGGGAAACCTCGGTTCTCCCTTCCAAAAGCAAAACACCTAGGACAAGCACAGATGGTGTTGCTGGAGCTTACAGCAAATACCCCACACTGTGACACCTTGCTTTCCCTTCTCCCTCCCCTGCCCCAGGCAAGCCTTGGACAGGCTGGGTTCCTACTCTCCCCACAAGCACAGGCCCAAGGGACAGTCCATATCCTGGCACAGGGAGGGAAGAGACCTCCTGAATCTACACAGGATGGGGGATACCCTAGGGGTCTGGGGAAGTCCCAGGCTCCAATTATTCCTGCCCAGGGGAGTCCGGTGTTGTGGGTTCTTGCTTTGAAATCATGGAGTCATGAGGGACATTAGGTCCTATAACTGCTGCTGCCTGTAGGCTCTGGTGAGCTGCTGCCTACCCCTAACCACCACAGTAGAAAGAGGCTAATGCATCCTCTCTCTTGGCCTAGTCCTTCTACCCTGGGCCTCAGAGAAAAATCCTTTCTTTTTTGAAGCACAATTAGTCCAAAACCATAAAGTCTAAAAAGAAATTCTCTTGGAGGACCCTCCAAAGTGAATTTTACATGCTCCTTGGGTTATCCTTGAAAATCCTTCAAAATTTCTAAAGCACTGCAATTCTTTCTACAGACCGAATCCAGCAGTTCTTGGAAGGATTTCAAAGGGTACAGTGCCAGCAGCTCCCTGCAGATTTTCTTCCCTACCCACAGCAGAAACCTTCAGAAAGTGAAACAAACGCACGCTGGGACATCCACCCTACTGTAGCTCTACCACTGCAGACCAGTCACGAAAGATCCTTTCAGTTCTTTGCCTAAGAGATTCCCTGCAAGGAGCTAGCTATAGGGAGAACAAGTAAGCCTCAGCTATCAGCCTAAAGATACCACAGAGCTCTCCACTGGGGCAGCAGCTGCTCATCTCACCTCAGACTTACTCAAAAGGGTGACCTGATGCTTGTCGTGGGCCTGGCTCTCTCGGTCAAACTCGGTTTGGAGAGATTGGTTATTCCTTAGATTCCTAGGAGTAGCCCTCCTCTCTCTATTGATAACTGTGTGAAAGAGAAGCTATTGCAATTGCAGCATGAAGGATTTTAGCTAGACATGATGCAGGCCTTCCAGAATATCAGGGTTTGCTGTGAGGTATGAAATGTAATGAATAAAAACATAGGTTATAAAGTCATACACATCAGGGATGGAGTATTAGACTTACCAAATACCAGCTCTGTGACCTTGGACAATGATTTAATCTCTCTGGGTCTCAATTTGTCATCCCTAAAAAGATAAAATAGCAGAGACCTCACAGCTCAATGACTCCAGCTCAAGCCCCCATCCCATCCCTTACCAGGGAAGTCTAGCATCTTTCTTAAGATTTCTGAGGATTCTGAGGGCCTCAGAATCCCGTGTGGTTCTGAATTTGAGTTCATGCAGAACTTCTAATTTCACCATTCCTCTTTCATGGCCACTTTCTTCTTTCCGTTTTTTATTACACCACATCAGGGGCACTGTTTTTCTTCCCTAATTTCTATTTTTTAAAAACTCATTCATAGGAAGGACTTGTGTGAATAACAGAATCTTATTGTGGTATGGATAGCTAGAAAGGACATGTGTTAAAGCAACACAAACAACAGATTACTAGAAACTCCAGCATTTATATGTTCCTGACGGTATTGCCATTTGGAATTTCTCTGCAAACTCCAAAATCTTGCTATGGAGCCATATATGCTCCTCCCTTCCCTCCATATTTCCTCTTTTTTTTCCTGGCTCATTCAAATTCATGTTCAGTTCTTATTAAAAACAATTTAGCTCCATATGTGCTACATTCCATTCTTTTTCATCAGAACTTCTCCTTTCCCCAGTTGGTTTACCACGGGAATTTTCCTTTAAAATTCCTGTTGGAATATGTCTTTCTTAACAGGAACCTTGATGACAACCGATGGAATAATCATTTTGTCACCCCCATTCCTCTTCTACAGACATAGTCATTGCTTATTAAACAACTTATGAAGTAGAGGTTTTACACCAATTTCACACATGAGCAAACTGAGGCTTCTGAAGTATACTGCTAGTCCGGGAAGAGATAGAATTTAAATCTAATTCTTCGAAGTCTAAAGTGTGTTGCTACAGAGAAAATGTATCACAAAGTGCTGACTTATGTGCTACAGACAAGTACAGAAAAAATACGCGAGGGATGGGTATTGGAGAAACTGTTGTCAGGCAGAAGGTTCCCTGACTGAGGGAAGGGCTCATCTGTTGTAGGCTATAAGCATCCTCCTCAGGCCAGCTCCAGAGCCAGAAGAGCAGAATTCTGGGGCTAACAAAATCATAGACTTTCAGCTAGGTGTGGTGGTCCATGACTGTAATCTCAGTACGTGGAAAGCTGAGGCGGGAGGATCACCACAAGTTCAAGACCAGCCTGAACTACATATGGAGATCCTGTCTGAAAAAATCAAATCAAGTCAGACTTTCATAGCCACTAAGCCACTAGATTCCCGAGTTGCTTATTCTAGGAGCCACTTTAAACATGACCCAGTTAAACTTTTGTTTTTTAACACATTTCACTTCTAGGTTTCACCTCAGTCAAAAGTGGATAGTCTTCCTACGTCCACCTTACAGAAGAACGAAAAAATATCAGAGAAATCAAGTGACTTGCCCAAGTTAACACTGATAATGCCAGAAGCCAAAACGCAGACGCTCTGATTTCATGTGCTGTCGGTACTTATCAGCCAAAGGCCACCAGGAATGCACCTGGGGTTGGTCAGGCTAGGTCTGTTGTTGCAGAGAGAGACACCATGCGATGACCAATAAACCCAAACGGGTGAAGCACAGGTGTGCTTCTGGTGGTCACTGGCTAAAAGGCAGAAATACAGGTTTACTGAGGTCAAGCTGAAGCCTTTACTGCCTTGGACCTACTAGGTCTTCCATTCAGCAATAGTGGCCATATCTGAAAATCTTTATATCTACCTCTTTGAGGTGCTGGCCTGCCCACTCTGGAAAGCAAGTTCACACTGAAATGTGCTGTGATATTTCACAGAAGCCCTTTACCTTTGGGTTTTTTTCCTAGGAATTAAGTTCCTTGGATACTTTTGGTCTGATCACATTTATATAGCTCTTTGGTGAAATCATTTTCCAGGCTTCTAACAGGTGCTCCTGTTGTCTGCATGTCTCATGTCTTTGATGTTGCCTGTTTATAAGAAAAAAAGTTCAGATGGAAAGGATAGGCATTGATCCACTAAGCTCGTCCTTGAGCAGCCCCTGGGGATTAGAGAAGTTCTACCTTCTTTAGTTTCACCTACCCAGAATCCGTGATTTTTGTTTGTCTCTTTGCTGTTTTGTTTTGTTTTTTTCCTCTGAGCAGTGAGTGATGCTTGTCCTTTGGCCAAGTTCTGGAAATATAAAGTTCACCAGCACCACCTATACAGACCTTTGAGTTCTCATGGGACTTTCTCGGTCTAAAAAATACCTCTTCCGAGGCTAACCATCTGCTTCCTTCATGTTTTTCTCATCACAGCGCGAACTTGTATGCTTATCCTTCTGACAGGCACAACTTCACTGGGAACAATTTTAAATTCAGGGGGCACTTTGGAGAGCTTTGCACATGAACAAAAGACTACTTTAGAACATAAAGCAAAAGAGGAGAAAATCAGATTGTAAGAGAGATACCAGTTGCTGATTCTTTGTGATAGTTCCTGTTTGATCAGGGTTTTATTCATGAAGTCTTTGCCTACACCGATGTCTTGAAGAGTTTTACCTATTCTATCTTCCAGCAGATGCTTCTGTTTTAATATTTAGATCTTTGATCCATTTCAAATTTAGTTTAGTGCCTGGTGAAAAGTATGGGTCCAATTTTAATCTTCAGCACATTTGCAGAGCCCATTTTTCCAGCACTATTTATTAAAGAGGCTACCCTTCTTCCAGTGAACATGTGTGGCACCTTTGTCAAAGATAAGGTGTGTGAGTATGTCTGGAGTTGTTTCTGCATTTTCTAATCTATTCTATTAATCCTTGGGTCTGGTTTTTTGCCAGTACAACACTGTTTTTATCACAGTAGCTTTACAGTATAATTATAAGTTAGGGGTGATCATCTCAATACATGCAGAAGAAGCTTTTGACTAAGTCCAATACCCATTCATATGGAAAAAGCCTACAGAAAATTGGAATAGATGGTCTTTATCTCAATCTGATAAAAGTCATTTATGACAAACCAACAGATACTAAATGGACAAAAACTGAAAGCTTTCACTCTGCAATCAAGAACAAGGCAAGGGTGTCCTCTGTCTCCAATCTTATTCAACATAGTTCTAGAAACAGCCAGAGCAATTAGACAAGAGAAAGAAAGAAAAAGAATAATAATAGGAAAGGAAGAAGTTCAACTATCATTATTTGCAGATGACATAATACTCTATATAGAAGACCCCCAAAATTCCACTAAAAGACTGCTAAATTTAATAAGCAAATTCAACAGCATATCTGGATATAAAGTCAGCACTGACAAATCAATAACCTTCCTGTACATGAATAAAAAATTCACCGAGAGAGAAATCAGGAAAACACCTATTAGAGTAGAATCCAAAACAATGAAATACCTAGGAATCAATCTAATGAAGGATGTAAAAGGCCTCTACATTGAAAACTACAGTACTTGGAAAAAGAAGATTGAAGAGGGTATCAGAAAATGAAGAGTTTTTGTAATCCAAAAGGTACAATAGATATAGTGAAAGGGAAAGAAACTGCTCAAAAGGAAAGAACTACTGGGATGGGGGAAAAGAGAAAAGAAGGAAGGGGAAAAAAGTTATGTATATATATGCAAGATAGCTAAGATAATTGTACTACTAATTTCTTTTAGCTCATTGAAAGGGACAGTTAGTGCTTATATTGTTTGATTAATTTTGCATGCCATATCTGGTAATCTGCGCAACTACTTTGAAGATAACAATATGCAATATAATAATCTTTGTTAATTTCCTATCATCTTGTTCTGAAATTCTGTATCATTTTTATTGTTTATTTTCTCTCTTTAAAATTAAAAAAAAGAAAATGGAAAGATAACCCTCGCTCTTGTGTGGGAAGAACCACTATAGTGAAAATGGTCATACTTCTAAAACTGTTATACAGATTTAATGCGATTCTGATTAAAATTCTAGCAGTATATCTCACAGAATTAGAGAAAACAACCCTAGAATTCATTTGGAATCAGAAGAGACCTAGAATAGCAAAGGCAATTCTGGGTAACAAAGGCAAGGCAGGGGACATCACAATCCCTGACTTGAAATTATACTATAAAGCTACTGTGATAAAAACAGTAGCTGGCAAGAGGAATGATTTTTTAAAAATTATACAGTTTGATAAAAACTGTCAAGGGCCCATGCTATGTCAGTGTATCACCCTCTTTTGTGTCTGTATACATATCTCAAAATAGGCAATTCTACATGTTAAACATCTTTCCTCTCTTTGAAGAGGAAACGTAACTAGCCTTTCAGAGATAACTGCACAGTGGCTATAGTTGACGTTCCTGTTTGTGTGCAGTTTTATGTTCTGCTTCCTCTCTTTTTCTTCTCTTAGGAAGCTTTAACGATTAGCTGATCAGAAACCATTTGTTGTCTTGCATATACTTTAGGACTATCTCATCTAGGTAAAGTCAATCATATCTTTGAAAATATTTTTAAAGTTATTAAACTGTGTTACTTTTTGTGCACATTGAAAAGTACTTACCCGACAACCTTTTACAATACTTAAAATACAAAAAGAGTGTAGTTTCAAGGCAGAAGAAAAATTTTGTTTGTTCAAGACAAAGGTTAAATTCCTCACAATTCAAAGTTCTTTGATTTCACACATCAGTTTCATGAATTAAATAAGTTACCACTGTTTCCATAACTTGTTTAAAATTAAATTATATGTATAAATGTGTACTCAGTGAAATAGACTGATAATTGCTTTGATTTATGAAATTCTCATAATGCTAGTGTTAGCTAAATTGTAATTTTTTTGTAGGAGAGATAAGTTCAGGAAGTTTATCATACATCTTGATTACAGTTAATAACAATGTATTGAATTTTTTGTTTGTTTGTTTGTTTGTTTTGTTTTTTTTCCTGTACCGGGAATTGAACTCACGACCTTGCACTTGCCACGCAGGTGCTGTGCCGCTGAGCTAAATCCCCAGGCTGTAGTAACGTATTGAATTCTTAAAAATTGCTAACAGAGTTGATCTTAAGTATTTTCATGAAAAAATATGTGAAGTAATAATACGTTAAATAGCTATGTTTAGTCATTTCAAAATATATACAATATAAAGTCATCATATTGTACATGATAAACATATATATACATAATTTTCTTTCAATTTTTATTTTTATCATTACCGGTTTATAGTACATAATTATTACATTCTTTATAGGGAATTGGTACATGCACATAATACATATCAATTCTTTTTTCATTCCTATCCCCTACTCTCCCTCCTCCTCCCTCTATCTCTTGATTCCCTTCCCTTTTGCAAATGATCTATTTATTTCATATCTTTTCTTTTTCTTTTTATTTATATTTTGAGTTTCTCAGATAAGAGAAACCATGTGATATTTAAACTTATGCCTTTGATTTATTTGACTTAATATTATGTTTTCAAGGCTCATTCATTGTCCTACAAATGACTCAAGTTTATCCTTCTTTATGTCAATATAGCACTTCATTGGTACATTCTCTTTATCCATTCATATGTTGATGTGTATATGGACTGCTTCCAAGGTTTAGCTGTTGTTAATTCTGTTAATACCTATGAACATAGGTAATCATGGATCACTGACATATGATATCTTTTAACTTTTCTGAAGATATCTACAAGGGGAATCACTGGATCAGATAGAATTTCTACCTTTAGTTTTTTGAGGACTCTCCATACTGATTTCTATAGTGGTTGTAGTAGCTTACATTCCCATCAGCAATGTAGACAGGTTCCTCATCCTTGCTCCAGCCTCACCAGCACTTGTTATTATTTGATTTCTTGATGATAGCCACTCTTTTTGGAGTAAGATCGAATCTCAGTATTGTTACAATTCGCATTTCTCTAATGACCAGAGATATTGAACATTTTTTCATGTATTTATTGGTCACTTGTACTTCTTCTGAGAAGTGTCTATTCATTTGGGTTGTCTATTTTTTGACTGGGTCTTTTATTTTGGATCTAATTTTTTTGAGTTCATTATAGTGTAGATATCAGTCCTCCAGTTAAGGAATATCTGGCAATCTTTTTCCCGTTCTGTAGGTTGTCTCTTCACTCTTTTGGTTATTTCCTTCGCTGTGCAAAAGCTTTTTCCTTGATATTATCCCATTTTATGTCTTGTGCATTGGGGCTTTGTTCAGAAAGTCCTTGTGTGCCCCTGTGTCTTCAAGAAATTTACCTATTTTATCTTCCAGTTGATTAAGTGTTTGTTTTCACATAGATCTTTGATACAGTTTGATTTTAGTTTAGTACATGGTGAGAGACATGGATCTAGAGTCAGTCTTCTGCACACGGGTAGCCAGTTTTCCCAGAACCATTTATTACAGAGACTGTCTTTCTTTCAGGGAACATTTTTGTCCCTTTTGTCCAAGATCAGATAGTTGAATGTGCCTAAGGTTGTTTCTGCATCTTCTCTTCTGTTCCACTGATCCTTGTGTTTGCTTTCATGCCAGTACCATGCTGTTTTTTACCACTGAGGCTTTGTGTTATAACTTTAAATCTGCAATTATGATGCCTCCTGCTTTGTTTTTGTTATACAGGATTACTTTTGCTAAATTGTAGTTTCTTGATTCTCAGCTAATGTAATATCTTAGACCTAAATTAGTTATAAACAATCTTTGGATATCTAGACAATTCTAAAAGGAAAAAAGAAAAGTGATACATAGGTTTATATTTATTTTTTAAATGGCAATCAACTACGAAAATGCACAAAAACTTTTGAAAATTACATATATAGAGTTAAAATAATATTAAATAATTAATCATAGAGAAATATAGTTAAGAATCCTTTATTTTTGTTCTCTATCTTGTGTTGGAAGAGTTGTTTTTGATTAAAAATAAGAATTAATAAAAATGACCAAGTATAATTACAGATAAGCAGCAATATGCATGAAATAATGGATATTAATTTCTGTTTCCTTATTAAGAAAGTTGTTATAGTTTATTAATATAATTAATAAGATATGTGGTTTTATTTCATATACTGATACTGATTATATTTAAGACTATAGTCAAAAGCTTAAGATTATAACCTAGTTTATATTTATATATCTGTATATGCATAAATGCATACATAGTTTATATTAATAATTCTTTTTATATAAACTATCTTATGAATGATGTGTGAAGTGAGTAAAATTGAATTTGAGTCTTTTTATGTAGAATGACTATGATACTTTTGCCTAGATTAGTAGAAATTCCTTTTAGACACCAAAAATACTTAAGGCAAGTCAAATCCTGTAAGTCATCTCTGACACCTTCTTGCAGGCTCCACAATTCCCCACACTTTGCATTCTCCCGCATTGCAATAAGTAGTATGTATATTGCTTCACTTCTATCCCACAAGGAAGAAATTATTATTATCCCTATTTTAAAGATAAATTATTCTGCTAATTCTCCAAGCTACTGAGAAATGAATTTTTAAAAATAGGAAGAAAATGCTCAAATGTGGAGGGGAATAGGAGAGGAGCAAAGGGAAAGGAAAGAAAGGAAAAGTTTAAAAAAGTGAGAAAAGAAGGAAAAAACAGAAACAAAGCTTTTGTAAATGGGGAAAGGAAAGAGGGGTTGAAGGGAGGGTGGGAGAATGGGAAGGAAAAGAATCAAGTTATATCTTGTACAGGTACAAATTCTCTATGATGAATGTAATCATTATGTATATCTAAAATGTACCAATAAAATCTAATTGAAAAAAATGTGTCCTTACTCTTAAACTAAAAGCTAATTTCCTGATAGCTGTTTTTTTTTTTTTAGCTAAGTAATTTTACAATGTTGACTCTATTCCTTGCTTTAGATATATGTATGATTTATACCTTTTAACCTAACAAATATTCTGAAGAATATTTATAACTTTGTCTTTCCTGAATGCAAAATAATAAAATTAGGATATCTTTTATGCCTGACCTATCTTTGGTTCTCAAGTGGCCATTAGGTCACAAAAATTTGCCCTTTCATCCTAAAAAATAAAGGGTAATAAAAATAATTAGGTTTATCTAAATTTCTTTAAATTTTAAATAAGTAAAACTCGTGAGAATTTTGTCTACCAAACTTAGTATTAAAATAACCTAACAAATTAAAAATAGAATTTATCATCCAGTTATAGGTAAAAATATGCAAATATATACCTTGCAATGATAGAATACTTTTTAAGTTAAAAGAAACATATTTAAACACAATGACTGATAAAATAGCTAGCCAATAAATGATTTTTTTCAGATTTTTTTTTTTTAATTTCTGAGACTGTCTCACTATGCAGTTCAGGCTGGCCTTGAGCACACTTTGTAGCCCTGGCTAGTCTCGAACTTGCAATGATGCTCCTGCCTCAGCCTGCCGAGTGCTGGGATTACAGGCGTGTGCTACCATGCCTGACATTTTTCAGGATTTTAAGTGAACAAATCCTTTTTCCTTTTTTCATGAAGTTTCTGGGTAGGTCCTAAAGGTACTTATTTAATTTCATGGGAATGGTCAGGAGTTCATTGCTTTTTCAGGCTTTCACTAGATCTAGTGACTAAAGCACAGCTATTTGGTGTAAAAGCTATATCAGCAATAACAAAACCTGTACATGCATACTTCAATTGGCTTAATTTTATATCTCCACTAAACTTCATGCTTCTTTGTGCTATACAAACTGTCCTATTGACCAAAACTGCTCACCACTTTTTAGCTAATGGGCTAACCTCCTACGAAAAATTACTGTTTTTCCCTTTCACACTATCTGGTGTGAGGTGCAGTAAACCCAGTCATGCTTCTTCTCACTTGAAGATGGAAATACTTACAGCTGCTTACTTCATTATGGAATTCTCCACAGCCTGCATAACCCTTCAGAGACATTTCAGCACATTTTTACAGGAAGTGTTTAACTCTACTCAACAACTCGCTTACCTCAGAGGGACACGGTGTGCTCACTCCTTTTGTCACAACTGATACTTTTGCTCCCAATGCAATCTGTGCCCTTTGAGGGTACTACTTCATATGTAGGCATCATATATCAATGTCACATCCTAATATCCTGTAAGTTTAGGATAATTTTAGAGGATTTTAGATATTTAAAATTACCATTCAGGGGCTGGGGATTTAGCTCAGCGGCAAAGGCGCTTGCCTGGCAAGCGCAAGGTCGTGAGTTCGGTTCCTGGTACCGGAGAAAAACAAAAAAACAAAACAAACAAAAAAATAAAAAATAAAATTACCATTCCTCCAGAAAATTGTGTTTCTGTAAAAATATTTTTTAAATTATCACAATATCACTCGTTTACTTTCAAAATGAGGCACACACCAGATACTTTGTAGAACTCACAGAAGGACTCTCTTTATGCGTATTAGGCAAGCCGTTGATTTTCATATTAAGAATAATGAAACAGGGCTGGGGATTTAGCTCAGCGGCACAGCGCCTGCCTGGCAAGTGCAAAGTCATGAGATTGATTCCTGGTACTGGAAAAAAAAAATCAAAAAAACCAAAAAACAAAATATAGAACCTTTATTTTTAAAAAAAAAAGAATAATGAAACGGGCAAAAATGATTAAAAGCTTGCTTCTAAACCCGAGAAAAAGTCATAAACAACATAACTTCTACTTTAAACCCTAACAAGCTATTCTAATTTCAGTAGCTAGGGTTGTTATAGGCGATCAATCACACTAGCCTTGATTTTCTCTTAACTCTTCAAGGAGAATTTTTTGTTACAACAAATACTTCTTGCTATGTCTATATATTATGAAATAAACACAACAGATGACATTTTTAAAAAGTCACTTGTTTCCTGGACCAATAATCATTTCATTTATGGCAACTGTTAGTGTTCCAGTTAACTAATGTGTCCTGTCCAGTTTCAAATGCTACTGTACCACCACTGTCATTGTAGAGGATTCAACGACTCATCCTGCAACAGAGCAGATGAACAGCATAGAGTAATGCTAGCCCTACTACAGAGTATATTCTCTCAAAAAAGTCTTGGCATTGGTAAAAATCTGGCTATCACTGGTTCATGTTCTGTAGCCTGACTTCACCTCCCCTTGGCTACAAAGGAAGCAGTAAGGAAGAAATAAACAGCCCCTAGCAGCTGGGAGCTGGCCTGATCCTAACAGTTGGGCCTGGCTGTTCTCCTGCTAAAGAGTTTCACAGAACAGCAGTACCAGACAACATGAATGACTGCTGCTTCTTTAGTTATACCTTTATCTTTCCTTTAATAGTCTCTCTGGAGGAGATTTACTGAAATACCCAGCTGTGGAATTATTGCACCTCTTCATCAGCTCCAATCCAGAGCAAAGCCTTACTTCCTTAGGTACTCCCCAAAAGTACTTAAGGCAAGTCAAATCCTGGAAGTCATTTCTAACACCTTCTTGTTCAGGCTCCACAATTCCCCACAATTTGCATTCTCCCTCACTGCAATGAGTAATATATATACATATATATATATATATATATATATATATATATGTATATATATATTCCTTCATTTCTATCCCACAAGGAAGAAATTATTATCATCCCTATTTTACAGATAAAGTGTGACATAGAATTTAAAATTACCCAGTTAGTAAGCTGAGAAATGCACCCAAGAACCCAGGACTGGCTTTTTGCATTATGCCACACTGCCATAAAAGGAGTGTATAATGGGAGATTTATGAGGTAACTGGAAATTCCTTTAGAAAAAATTCCACTTTTCAACAGGTAACATCTTACTGTTCATTAATATATTGGCATACTATCCCCCAAGATTATCACTGGTCAATTCTAAATGTGTGTGTGTGTGTGTGTGTGTGTGTGTGCGCGCGCGCGCGCGCTCTGGTTGGGTGGAGTGTGATGCATCTTGATATCTCATATAGTTTGTTCTACCCCTGTACTTGGTTACTAGAACCACTGTAACCATATTTACACAGAACAAAAACAGGCAAACCTCTTTCTTCAGGCCCCTTCCAAGCTGACGCTATTAGCTGAGAAGCTCAGCAGCAAGGCTGCTGCTAGCTCAGCTCAGAAGTTCCTAGGGAGTATGAAGGGAGGGGCCAGAGCTACCACTGCAGAACTTCTATTTAGTGCTGACAGAGGAGAATCAGCAGTCAGTCTCCCAGCAAGAATAAATTCTTACTGTCGTCAGCCTCCTGCCCACCTTGCACTGGACAGAGGGTAGAGGGAGATTTAAACGGGCTACAAGATATGGCTTCTCCTCTGGAAAAGCCCAATGGATAAGGCCTCTCTCTCTCCCATCTCAGACCAAGTGTTGAGGTGCTAAAGGAAACACTCCTGGGGAGAGGGGGAGAGGGGGATTGATGGGCTGGCTGATGGGGGCATGCAGTCTAGCCATGAAGGCCCTCAGATGAAGTGTGAGCATTCATTGACCTAGGACTGTCTGCTCTAGGAAAATTACCAGGCCAAAAAGAATAGTCTCCAGGGGTATGGAGGAGGGGGTATGGGAGGAGAAGAACAGAATTCTAGCCATTTTTATGCAGCAGAAGCTTTAGAGACAGCAGTCTGAAGTGTGCATTTGGAAAACAGGAGAGTTTGCCTAGAGGCTGCATTTGTTTAAGAGAATTTTATTTGGATTAGACTTTCATTCTGGATGGTTTGGTGAGCAGGTGACAGCTTGCATCAGTAACAGAAGAGCTAAAGTTGCTTCTAGCCACCCCTACTTTCAGGTAGCCTGAGAGGGGCTCCTTCTTGAGCCAGCCAGGCAAGAGAGAAACCCCTAGAAAGATGAGACCAAGGAGAAGGATCTGGAGTCTTGAGAAGGGGCCAGCAGGGGACAAATTATCTTACACACCGTAGTTCCTTAAGAATCACCTGACATTGGCCGGGCGTGATGGCACACGCCTGTAATCCCAGCACTCGGAAGGCTGAGGCAGGAGGATCGTTGCGAGTTCAAGGCCAGCCTGGGCTACAAAGTGAGCGCAAGTTCCCCTTGAACTGCATAGCGAGACCCTGTTTCAAAAAAAAAAAAAAAGAATCACCTGACATTATGGTTTGTGTCTAGATGTCCCCCCAAAGCCACATGCAGTCTGGAGTGGGCTTCCAGAGTTTTTGATTGATTCATGGTCCAATGGGATTATGCGTGTGAGTGCTGGGTTTATGGGTGTGAATACTACACCCATCTGGGGCAGCAGCCTGCATACAATAAAAGGGAGGGAAGGAGGTTTGCTCGCTGCTCCTCCCTTTTGCTTTTGTTGCTTTGTGGCTTCCCTAGCCATAAACTGTTGCCCTCTGCCATGCCACCCTGCCTTGGGGCCAACTGAGTATGGACTGAAACCTTCACAAACTGTGAGCTAAATAAACCTTTCCTTCCTTAATTTTGTGTGTCAGGTATTTTGTCCCAGCAATGAAAGAACAGTAACAGAGACACCTGATAAAAAAGAATTAGCTGGGACAGTAGCTGTTAATGGGCTCCCCAAGAACATACTCAGGATCTTCTCACAAGGGCACTGTGATAGTAGGGGCAGGAGTGTGTGCTAGATAGGTCCTACCTGCAGGAGATAGAAGGATCAGGCACTATACTATGATCTAGTGTCTTGGTATGGCTGGCCTTTATTAAATAATCAGAGAACATCACAGATGTAGTAGAGGAGTAGGACCACTGAAGTGATGCATGGGATCTTTGATCCTTCAATCTTTGACATAGGATGTTAGAGTAGAAAGCTGCCTTGGCCTATCTAGACTCCTATTCTATTGTATATCCCTCAGCTACCAGCCAGTTTCTGCTCCTCCTCATGGAAAACTCCAACCCCAACAAAGACACAATGGCTCTTTCTCCGTCTTCAGCAGCCCAGCTGATATGGTCTGCATTTTTAAAAAGAATCTTCCTTCATCTCCTCTCCAAACAGGAGATAATGAATAAGAAAGAAAGTATCAATTAAAATCCAATGAAAACATTTCTAAGGCACTGACAAATTTTATTAGAGCTCCTCACTGGATGGACAATGCCATTTCCCAAAGTGTTTTAGAGAATGCCAATTCCACTGGATGGTGAAAGTGAAATGCAAAAAAATAGTGTTTTGCAAGCAAATACCTCTGGGAAGGGCTAGTACTATAGTTTGAATATAGTTGATCTCCAAAACTCATACTGAAATTTGATTCCCAATGTAATGGTGTTGAGGGAAGGGCTCTGGGAAGGGCTAGTACTATAGTTTGAATATAGTTGATCTCCAAAACTCATACTGAAATTTGATTCCCAATGTAATGGTATGTTGAGGGTGACAGGATCTTTAAGAACTGATTAGGTAGTCAAGAGGGTTTAATATTTTTCTTGCGGGATTGAGTTCTAACTCTTCTGGGACTGTATTAGTTATTACAGGAGTGGGTTATGGTAAAGTTAGGCTGAAACTTGTGTTTTGCCTCTTCTGTTCGTGCCTGCCTATGCTTCCACTTTCCACAATCAGCTGAAAGTGGAAGCATGAGACCCTCACTTGAATAAGCTCTTGGACTTTCTAGCCTCCAGGAGGATGAGCCAATAAATCTCTGTCCCTTAAAAATACTCAGTATCAACATTTTTTTTTTTTTTGGTACCGGAAATCGAACTCAGGACCTTGTGCTTGCCAGGCAGGCACTTGTGCCACTGAACTATATCCTCGGCCCTCAAGATTTTGTTATGTCAACATAAAATAGACTAAGACAACTGGGTTAACCAAAATTTCTTTTAGAAAGTGTAACTAAGATGTTCATAGAACATCTACTATGCTAATATGCATTATTATGGTCTGTAAAAGACAGAGAGAACAGGATTTGCAGCACAGTGCCATTTATTTGTCTAGCACTTACTGTATACTAGGCTCTACACTAAGTGTTTTACACATATAAATCCTATTTCATCTTCAGCATTTAAAATAGATGCTCCTTTTATCTTTATTCCATAGATGAAGAAATTGAGATGCAGAGCGGTTCAGTCACCCATCCAACATCATAGTTAATAATTAGAAAAGCTGATAGTTTGAGGGATTACACTAGAGGTTATTGATTGGATCAGTGTGGCAGAAATTGTATAGGTGTTCACAGAGCCCATACCCTCTTCTTATAGGGAACAGG